AAGCCGCGCGCCTTAGCTCCCGGCCCGACGGGCGCAGACGTCTGTGCCCCTCCCCGGGCTGGGCTCCTTCCCGGAGGACCGGGGGCCGAGGGAGTGAGCTCCTTCTTCCGCCTCTTTCCCTGCATCCCGCGCCCAGACCTCGAGATCGATCCATTCCCTGCGCTTAGCAGAAAGACCGTGAACGACTCTTTCCCCGGTGAACTAATCGGAACGTGAAGGACCGACTCCCGCTCTGTGTAGCGGCGACAGGCGCCGCAGGTCGCTCCGCAGCGGCTTTTCCTCGGGCTGGGGATGCGGCCCCCCGGCCCCCCGCCCACAACTAGACGGAAACCCTGAAGTACTTGGGTAAGAAACTTGGAAATCTCAGAAGCGGCAGCACCACCGAGAGCTCTCTATCCAATAGAGCCAAGGCAGCCCCTGCCATTTCCTGTGTACCTTGGCATGTGGCAGTATTTATTTATTTATTTGGAGGAGTTTTACCTGTCACCCTGTATTTATACATATTTATAAAAATGTAATCTCACTTTTTTCTTCCTTGAAAAGTAAAATTTATCTCAGCTTCTACTGTGTGTCCTTTTTGTATTACTGCATACAACGCATCAGCGCGTGGGAATAAACATCAGCTCGTGGAGAGAGAAACAACAGGGAAACCTGGAGAAAGCAACATTGAAAAGGCTGTCAGAATTTTTAAATACTCAAAGATTTTTTTTCTATTCATAAGCAAAATAAACCATTTTGATAAATCTATACAGACTTGTTAGAAACAGTGACATTTTACCAGTACTGGATTTCTGGTCACTCTAACCCTAGTGTTTCCTTTGGAAGAGAATGTTTTTATTTCTCTTCACGCTGACACAACCACATCAATATCTCAGTAAACCAGAGGCTATGTTGTGCCAGTCAGCTTTCCATCCCTTTAACAAATACCTGAGATGGCCACTGATGAAGAGAAAAGGTTTCATTGGGCTGTTTTGGAGGATCCAGTCCATGGCCATTACTGTCAATCTCCAGCAGAGGGCGCACATCCCAGTGGGGTGTGTGGTGGAACAGAACTGCTCATCTGATGGCTGGGAAGCCAAAGGGGAACAGGAAGGGGCTGAGGTCCCACTGGCCTTCAGAGCTGCATCCCAGGACCTCAATCCCTTCCACGGTCTTAAAGATTCCACCAGTTCCACTGGTGCCCTGGGGCGAGGACCCAGGGAACATTCGAGATGCAAATTAGAATGCACACACTGGACACATGGTGTCACTGCCCTGTGGCATGTGACAGTGGGCCACCAAGATAGTTTATCAGTTACATGGCAGTGCCATCTGTTTCTGAGGCTGGTGTTCCTAAAATTCCTTCTTTCATCTCCATCAGCTACTAAAACCCGGGAAGCAACAAAGCTATTACACTTTTGCGTCTGTGTTCAAATTCACATCAGCTCAAGCTTCTGGTTACTCCTTATTACCTGACTTTAGCCTTCAGCTGTTCCCTTTTAACAGCTACAGGAAAAGAACTGCGTAGGCCAGGGTTTGAGCTGATGCTTAGATCACCTCCAAACCAAGTCTGCAAAGAAGTTTTCTCCTGAAAATTATGGCCCCTTTGGAAGCCAAGAGCCAGAGTCCACCACCCTACAGGGCAGACTCAGCAGGTGATACCAGAGCACAGCGGGGAAAACATTTTATTTCTTTGGCCACACAAAAGCAGACTTACAAAAGGCAGATTATTAGTTTTTAAAGTTCTCTCCCAGTTTTCTGGAAACAAATGTCTTGGTGTTAGCTTATGAAGTTCATCCCTCCATCCGTTTCAGAAATAAAAGGCCAAGGCTGGGGATTTGGCTCAGTGGTTCTGACGCCTGCCTCACAAGCGCAAGGTTCTGAATTCGATCTCTGGTACCCCCCCAAAAAAAATAGATAAAAGCCCAGTGCAGCTGGTGATTCTTAATTTTGTTCCTGTCTCACAGGACCTAACCAACAGAAAAGGAGCATCACCAAAAGAATCCCGTGGGAATAAACAGGTCTTTGCTTCCTTCCAGAAAGAATTAGACAATGAAGAAGAGACACATGCTGTGGGTGTCCTCCTGTGGGCTGTAAGGGTGCTTTTTTCCATGAATGTTTTCCCTGACTAAAGAAAGGCAAACTACAGTTTAACCCCAAACAAGTGATGGGGTGAGGGCAAGCGAGGGCACGGGAAGAGGCATGTGATGATAGGCACAGGTAGGCTGTGTGTGGAGCCAATTCTGTGGTGCAGCATATCCTTGAGCCTTCAGGGACCCCGTCTCTGGATGCCAACATTGCAACTGAAACCAAATCTTTGTCTTGCCCTTGTAATTATCAACCTTTAGTGAACAAAAATATCATCGCATCATGTAGCTCTCACTACCATGGCAGAGTGACTGGTACTGGCCTTGCGCTCTTGCCGGGAAGTGTGAACAAACACACTATGCAAACAGTTGTTTTCAGGAACAGAGCAGCTGCGCTATTGGGAGAAGGAGACACCAAGCTGGGCCTCGTGACCCTCCAGATCTGTGTGCCCTAGGAGTGCACCACAGCTCAGAACAAGGAGGTGAGACCCATAGAGCGGCGGCCTTGCTGATGTGACAGCTGGACTTGGTGGGGCAGAGCAGCTGAGAAGGGAGACTGCAGTCACTGCAGCTCCTGGGCCAGCACAGCTCATGCTCCGGGAAGGAGTCCTGCCAAGGCGTGGGCAGGAATGCACGGCCTCGGATGCTGGAAAAGGCCAGGCATCCACCACGCCAGGCTGAAGAGACCTCAGGAGTGCGTCTGCATCCAAAAGGTCTGAGAGCTGACCTTTAGAGGAAGGACTACCTTAAATCTAAATTCTAAACTGAAATAGACTTCCTCTAACAAAAAATAGCAATCTTGATAAAACTCTCAGAACTTGCTAATAACTGAACTGTCAGAACAAAAAATTATATATATATATATATTACCTGAAATGAAAATTTTACTAAATGGGCTTGACATCCAAATGAAAAATAAAATCCAAATAAAAGAAGTGTCATTTAAAATAAAGAAAGTTAATGTAAATTATCTGAAGAACAGATAAGTGAAAAAAAAAACAAACAGAATCTCAGTGGTGTGTGAGATATTACCAAGTTTTCCAACATATGTGGAAGCATATATATATTACCTGAAATGAAAATTTTACTAAATGGGCTTGACATCCAAATGAAAAATAAAATCCAAATAAAAGAAGTGTCATTTAAAATAAAGAAAGTTAATGTAAATTATCTGAAGAACAGATAAGTGAAAAAAAAAACAAACAGAATCTCAGTGGTGTGTGAGATATTACCAAGTTTTCCAACATATGTGGAAGCTGAGTCTGAGAAAAAGAAAAGCAGAACGTGTTGGGGAATAAGAAATATTTGAAGTGGTGCGTGGTGGTGCACACAAGATAAGTACAAAAATGATCACATTTAGCTGTGTCACAGAGTACTAGAAACCACAGAAAAAGACATTTTTGCTGCTCCAGAAAAATGAGACTTCAGAGGAGAACAGCTACATGAACAATACTTGACTTCTCATCACAAAAAAATAGAATCCAGAAGACAGTGGATACACTGAAATGGTTGGAAAAAAATAAAATAAAAGCACCCTATTTACAATTATATGTACAGAAAAAAAATCCTTTAAAATGAAAGTTAAATAAAAACAGAGAAATTGTTACCAGAGTGAAAACAGATGGAAATTTAGAATTACAGGAAAAAAGAGACCATCAGAAGTCATAAATTGTAATTAAAAAAAATTTTGTTTTCAGTACCGGGGATGAAAGTCAGGACCTTGTGCTTGCCAGGCAGGCACCATGCCACTGAGCTAAATCCTCAGCCCGGTAAGTAAATTTAAACAACTTTATAAATTGTCTACTTTCTTCCCATGAGTTTTTTAAAAGACTGCTTGAGGCAAAAATTCTAACCCGGTGTTGGGTTTATAACATGTCTGAGGTGTAATGCCAATGACAAAGTCTCCACGCAGGATGGAAAGCACAGTGAAGCAAGGTGATGCAATGTAGCACTGATTCCAACAGCCATCAAAGTCTCAAAACAGACGGCGACCCTTGAAATATCCAGTGAAATAATAATAACAGTGCAAAGCAGGATGGGTAAAAACCCAATGTACGAACTAAAATACAAAAGGTATTTAGTTACTTTAGATGAAAGCAACAAGGCAGAGCACTAAAACAAAGCTCAAATGGTACAGAGAGATGGCACATTAAATCCAAGAGCACTGATAATTTCATTGAACATAAATGAACCGAACACTACAACCAGCAGCAGGAATGGTCAAGCTGGATTAAAAAACAATTTTATATTGTCTATAAAAGACGCACATGGCAAAAGAGGATGGACGGATATGCAGTAAAAACCATAAGCACAATAAATATGGATTCACTATACTAGTATCATACAAAATGGGCTTCAGGACAGGGATAATAAACATTTCCTAACCATAAAAGGTGTGGAACATCAAGAAGATACAAAATTCACGAATACTTCTGTCTCCACCAACAACAAGGCAACAAAATGTATGAAGTGAAGGGAGAAAGAGCAGGTATGAATCTTAGCTGAACAGTGAACACCCCTCCTCCAGACCTGATAAAACGAGTGGAGGAAACTTCAGGGCAGACACGGGGCTTGGAACAGCGCGGTCCTCTAGCGTCATCTAGCGGATGAAGTCAGTGACTGCAGAACGCATGCTCACATACGAAAGGAAAGTTCATCAGACCCGCTCACACGCTGAGCTGATAAACAAGTCCTCATTAACTTAAAGGTTCCAAAGCTCTCTGTCCAGTCAGAGTGATAACAAGAAAACGCTTGAAAAACGCTCACATACTTTGAATTACCACATATATAAACAGTGCATACATAAATCAAACAAAACACCAAAAGTAAAAGTAGGCAATATTTCTAACTAATTCATAGTGAAAGTATGACACACCGAAATCTGTGGTATTCAGCTTAGAGTGCGCATAGAAGGAACATAACATTTTAAAAGTCTCTATGATAAAGAAGAGCTGCCAGGCTTGGTGGCACATGTAACTAAACCCAGACTCAGGAGGCTAAGAGGCAGGAGGATTTCCTCAGGTTTGAAGCCAGCCTGGGCACACAGCAAGGCTTTGTCTCAACAAACAAAACAAAACATAAAAAGAAGCAAGGCTAATCAATCTGCTTTTTCCTTAAGAAGGTGGGAAAGAAAAAAAGGAGAAAATTAGT